TAACAGCTCAACGGTTCCGTTTCATTTAATTATGATAAAGTGAAAATTTTTGTTTTTGACGAATTGTTGGAGATGCTTCTTCCGTCAGAATAATATTAAAGACATGAATTTTAAATTTCTCTAATGTAAAATGCTTGTTAGTAAGTCTTGGAGACAAAGTTAAAAATCAAGTGCTGGCTATAGTGATGCCTTTCAAAAATAATCAAAATAGCAACTCTGTTTCATTAAATTTTACTGAATGGGATGATTTCTTTTGTATTGTTGTCGGAGCTTAAAATGATGCCAAAATAAGCATTTTCAAGAATAACATTTGGGTAATACCGGTACCTACATAAAAAGTCAGTTAATCAACGTCTGTCTGTTAACTACTTTGTAAATATTATTATAAACTCAATGATTTGCAAGAAAAGAGATTAAGTGTTGGACATTGTGGAGCCTAAAAGAGAGTTGCAATTTATTGAACAGCAAGTTTCATCCAAAGGATTTGAATAGTTTTTGCGTTTTATATTTTAATTCATTTAGGAATTTCTAAATCAATTTAATCCGTAGGATTGAAAACAAAAATTTGTTGTGGTAATATTACTCAATAATCCAAATTAATCCAAGAATCACGTCGACAGTCAAAAATACATTTTTTTTTATCCAATTGATTTGCTTCATTCACGAAAAATATGGAAATTTATATTGCCATAGGAGGCGCACTACAAGCGTCTCTTAACCTTACATCCCAATCAAATTGCATTAAATTTTAAAATCTGACTTAATTAATTCATAAATCCAAACAAATGTTATTGCAAGGGCTTTTATTAAATTTTCATTAGTTGTGTATTTAATTTACAAATTCGAGGAATAGAAAAAAAAATTAATTGGAAATTTTTTCATTAGCTGATTACGTATTTAGCTATTGTTTCGTTTCGATAAATTTTTCTATCACTATTTATATTTTTTATCTGTTTAATTCACTATTTATTATTTACATGCCACATGCAAGTCAGAGAAATGTAATGAAATAAAAAAAGAAAAAATTCATTCGAAACAAAAAAGGCACGAGAGAGTTGCTCAAGTTTAATTTTAAGTCCAAAAAATACGAAGTTGCAAGTATCAGACACCACAAACAACAAGCAAACAAATAAATAGTCATCATCATCATTATCGTGACTAAGAACTGAAAAAGTTAACCAATTCCATTTTAACCATAATTGAGAGGCACAAACTATATACAATATTGAAGTAAAAACATTTTCTCTCATAGTAAAAGCTCGTTTGGTTGTCAGTGTAATGTAATGAACCAACGTTTATTATTTATTCGTAGGTGTTACAGACATTAACAATGTAAAAAAAAGTATTAAAGAGAAAAAAGTGTTGAGCTCACGGTATTATTTTCTATAAACATTTCTCTGAAATGTAATGTGCAGTTATTTTTGTCTATTCGGGGTTTTGAAGGAATTTAGAGATTTATTTGTTAATGTGATGATTAATTTGTATTAATTTAAATTTTTTCAATGGAGTTGATTAAAAAAACCTTATAAAATTGCTAACATTTAAAGTTGCCAACTGTAAAAAAACCAAAATAAAATCTATGTTTCAAAATTGCCAGTTACTTGGAATTGAATTCACAAACATTAAACCAAATTCAAGATTAACAATTTTTAAGTTTTTTGTACAGCTAAAATGACAATGTCTTCTTACCATCAGCTTTTGACTCAATCTAGATTAATTTTGCGACACAAAAATTTTATTCGGAATTTTATCTTCATGATCAAAAACAGAGTTGATTCCATTAAAGTATTTTAAAATATTTGTACGTAAATGCTTCTCTTACAGTTGACATGAAATGATGAAGGAATAAATACATTTAGACTAGCTTCATATCATAGAATGCATTCTCACCACTTGCTTGAATTATCATCTAACAACTCTGTCAAAATCTTACCGAAATATTCGTCAAAATCAAATGGGTCTCTCCGGTTCTGTTTTTTTTATATTCCAAAATCTAGCATTTTCGTTCACAAAGGTATCAATTTTCTATCCCTATTATAAACACATTAAGCTGAATTAAGCTATTTATTCCGCGCTACAAGGTAAAGTTGTTTTTGTCACATCAAATTCAGAGAAATAAATTTAAAATATCTTAGTGAAATCTACACAAAAACAGTTGAATTAAAGTCGTAGAAAAATGAAGCATAAACATGACTTTTTACATCATATTTGAATGTCTGATTTAAAATCAATGTCTTAAATAAATCTTTAGAATAATACAATCTCATCTGCAAATTGCTAGGTAAATCTGAATATATTCCATCCTATACTTTACGCACAAAATAAGGAAGTAGACACACCTTTGAAAACGACAAAACTCAATAAAGTAGAGAGATGGCGATTTAGTTCTAGAAATAATTTTCATTACACATTACATTTTTGGTGTGTACTCTACTGTGGTATTTGTAAGAAATAACTGATCTTTTCACTATTTATTGGCCAAGATCCTATTGCATTAGTTCACAAACAAAAAAACATAGTAAAGAAAAAATGTATTGGTTAAAGAAAAAACAAGAAGAAGTACAGTTTAAAATATGTAAAGAAAGAAAAACAACAAAACTAAAACTACTCACGTAATTATGTTAATTATATTTTCGTTGTTCGGTGTAAAAAATGTAGTTGGTATTTTAATAAGTATAAAAATGGTTAAAAGAGATATTATAAAGCTCTTTATGAAGCTTTTCATTAAAAAGAAGGGCATTAATTTCCACCATAATTCATGGCTGATTTTCAACACCTCAAATTTATTATTTTCATTTTCTACAAAACTTCCATTTACTGCGTTTTCCGATGCTCAATTAAGGGATAATTCCGAAAAAATTATGAATAATTTTGAAATAATTGAGGCATAAATCGTGTTATATCAACCATACTGATCAAAATTGCTAGATAGTCGCTGTCGTTATTTTTCTTCAATTTTAAATCTAAGATATAGACTCAGAGAGAGGCAAATTGATTCAATTTTGCAATATAGTATTGAACAGTCAACAGCAATCAATCTTACTTATAGAAAAAGAGAGGCTTTAAATAGTTGCAGACAATGAAGAATTGCTGAATTTTACTGACGAGTTAATTGGGACTATTTGTGGGTAATATTTCATGATTTTAAATAAGTAAGGAATACTTTGGGATCTAAATAGCTTAAAACGATACTTTTGGTGATTTATGTATTTTGATTCCAATCAGTTTGGCTGCAATTCTTGTTTAATTAAATAACTGACAAAATATTACATAACATGAAATTAAAAGGAGAAATTTAACGAAATAAAATGTGTGCGGGTTTAAGCAATTTTAAGTGCACTGGCGAGAGAAATCCTTTCTACACTACCTTTCTCCATCAACTTGTCAGTGAAGTTTATCTATAATTATTTCTGAAATTATGAAACGTTATCTTCTTATTTTTCACATGTCGAACATTTATCACATTTTATGATATGACTTGGAGAATTTTAATTGTGGAGCTATCTATGATTTAAAGTTACAACATAGTAATTTATGATTTTAGCTGTAGGTCTTTAGGCTCTTAAATTTTTAACCCATAAAGCACAAATTTTGCACCGATTTGTAAAGCTACTGGGTGAAAAATTATTGCAATCTGGGTAAATTCCTTAATATTGGATGTTGAAGCAAATGTGTAGCTTCCAAAAGTAAGAAGTGCTTAACTTTGATGAATGTCGTTTGTAATTGACCCCGAACTACTCAAAGCAAGTAATGGACCAAATTATGAGAAAATCTGCTAAGTGCGTGTCTATTTAACTTCCTTAAATTCACATCCATTATTCAGCTTAAGATCGTGTTTATTGTTAAGAATATAATTAATTGTGCTATAAATTTAGCACATTTAAGTATTCTAAACGTCCAATTTATCATAACAAAAAAGTGAGGACAAGCTTGAAGTTTTCGTGATGAAAGCTAATAAATCAAAATAATTTGCTGGTCATAAAACCAAGATTAATGAAATTGAAATGCTGCAAATTATATAAAACAATTTAGTTCACGACTTAAACTTAACCATGAAATTGTTGAAGTAAAAAAAAAATTTGCAAAATTTTGCTTGTTAGTGCAACGAGCAATTCGTTATGGTAATTTAAGAGACATAATAAAAACTTTTTTTTATTTTATTTTGCATTTCGAAATAATGTGAAAAAAACTTCAATAGTACTTGCTTTTGCTTAATAATTCGTGTCTACTTTTGATCCCTATAGCGATAAGTAGTTGCGTTCGAAGCGATGAATTAACAATTAATAAATATATTATTATGTACCACGACTGATGATGATGATTATGAACATGATTATAAATGAATAATATTATTATCATCAATATGAGATTTTTTTTTGATTTCTTTAAAATTGAAAATGCTCGATTGTATTATATCTGAAAAAAAATGATTCAATTTTAAGACTTTATAAAGGTTGCAAACCACATAACGAACATTTTTCTTCCATTATTTCCACTAAACGATTTCTATTCAATAAACCCTCTTTTCTTCATTTATGTGCAGTCATTCATCTATTTTTTTATAATTTCTTTTTATATTAAAATAAAGGATTCCATCAAAAAATTTCACTTACTATGAGAATTGTGCATTGTGATTAAATTTGAAAGAGACATTTTTATTGTCAATGAATAAAATAAAGACATTATGATGTGAAGTTTATGTGACTATTTTCAATTTTCGGAACAATTTCATAGAGAAATAATAAAAAAAAGTTCATTAATGATGTCCAATATCGCGACAGTTCCACGACGTCGACGTCCAAAAGAGATTGGTGAAGGTAATAGTCATTTATGGATTTTTACCTTTTTAAAGTCATTATCAGATTACTTGTACAGGAAATTTGAATGTGAATTTCACTAGGCGTTAGTGCCTATTGTTGTACGCGCCGCATTCAGTTTCACATTTTGTCATTATTTTTCATGTCTTCTCTGTTTTCTTACGTCTACATGTGTATCTATAGTTTTTGTATCATCAAAATCTTGCATTTACATAACAACTAATGAATCAAAAATAACTTCATCAACTGCCAATCGTATCGATGCATCAGAACTGCCGATTGTTGAGCCAATTTATGAAAATATAGAAAGAGACGATGATGGAGTAAATATTGTGCCATCTGACAATAATAAATTTACTATTTACGTAAATTATGATGATATCATCAAGGAACATAAATGTAATAAAAGTTCCGTACGGCTCTTAGAGCCCGACGTTAAACTCGTGCATATACATATGAATGAAGATGACATTGTTTACCGCGCAAATGAAAATAATTCAAATAGCAGCGATGATGATGAAGATGACGATGAGGAAAATAACAATTGTAATAATAGTAACTACATTAAAAGCACGTCAAAAATGATACAATGTCAACAGATTTCAATGTACATTGGTGAGAAAAAAATTTTAATCATCTTTTTTTTAATTTTTTGTTCCTCCCTCCTCCTTTTTTTTGACATTTTTCATTCATGTTTCTGACGAATTTTTATTAAATGACATGAGGACGGCTTTGTGTTCACTTTAGGTTGACTTTAGTAGAAGAATTTTTATTAAAAGAACTTCCAAAGATGACAATAGTTCAAAAGTCAGATAATTTTGTGGTATTTTAGTGCTGTAATGAAGCATCAATTATCTTTTTCGGCAAAAATCAAACTTAATTATAGTATCATTGCAGCACTACTATTCTTAAATGTTAATAGCACACGAAGTAATTTGAAGGCATTTTGATGAATTGAGCAATTTAGAATTAATTTTTGCAGTATTGTAATTTTTGAGTGAATTGATGAATATTGAAAATTGATCTGCGAGGTGCAGACCCTACCATAAACTCACACAATGAAATAAAATTCAAAAATTACTGTCATTTAAACAACAACAAATTTCAGCTCGGAACATGAAAATGCGCTTAAAATTTAATTTTTTATTGTAGATAATTTTTTTTATTTCTCATAATAACATGGAGATGATGATGTTTAATTGTAATAAAATACACAGACATCTCCTTTCATAATTCTGTTAATTCATTTATAAAATCGCACGTTCGCAATTTGAACGAAAGACCTCAAACTGAATTACATTATTAATGCTATTCTTTCTCGGTAATCTTCTATTAAGGTACATTATGTACGCAATATAAAGAAGAAATTGAGATTGAGAACTCTGTTGCTACATTTCGTTGTTAGTGTAAATAATTTGAAGAAATTATTTTGTGAAAGAAATATTTAGCATACTTCAGTTTTCAAGCACGATTTGGAGTAACAGCGAACAAAATCAACTTTTTCTTCCACATTTTAATGTGTGAAAATTATGTCTGTTATCTGAAAAAGCTATTATTAATTTTTATGTTTGTAAGAAGAAATGTAAGCTTGAAGTTTTTAAAACAAACCACCAAATAACATACATTAGATATGTATATCCATGTCTTGGACGTCTGTGTGCATACATATTTGATCATATAATTTGCAAACGGTTGTTAATTAACGATATTTTACAATTTCTTTTCACAGACGATTCAGATCATCATTATGAATCACTTTATTCCATTCAACAACAGCGTGCCGCATTAGAAGAAAATTTAGAGAAAGATAAACCGTTAGATCTGGATAATAATCATCAAAATTATTTTATCAAAAAACTTGATAATGAAGACGATTATAGTTCATTTGAAAGTGAAGATGAGGAAGAGAATTTAGATGGGAAGCCCCAGTCAGCTGATTTAAACATTGCAAAACTACCAGATCCACCACAAAATTCGACCGGACAGGTTTATGCTTTTGTACAACGTATCAAAAATTTCGGTTCCATTTCTAAAAACGAAATATCGAAAGGAATTAGTAAAATTGCAAAGAAACGTAGCAGTTTAGGTAAAGTGCCAACTTCAAAGTTCTACGAGACAACGGATATTGTTGAGGAAGCGCCAACAACACCAACATCAGAAATATATAGTCCACCAAAAACATATGATAATAAAAGTATTAGTAAGAAATCTCGTGGGTTATCAAAACTCACGAAATTAGGTCGAAATACAATCAATAAACTGCCAACATTCATCTTAAATGATCAATATGAACAATCTGAGTTTCGTTCATCAAATGGATCAAAAGAAAATCACGAAAGTAATTCTAGTCTTAATAAATTAAGTAATCATAAAGGAGGAGATTTTGATAATGATGTTGAGTATCAAAATCAGAAGAATAATAAAAGTTTTAAGGCAAAATTCCGTAAATCTAGTTCACCGTCCATTGGCTCATCATCAACATCGAATATTTATAGTGCACTAAGTAGTAAGACCAGTACTTTCTATGTAACAGACTCATTAGATGTAGATTCAGGCATATTTGCTGTAAATGAAAAATCAACAAACTCGCCAGACAATTCAAATCTCAATTTAAATTCATCGTCAAATCCAAACATAAGCTGTGATCCAAAGCGTCGTTCAATAGCAGCAATCAATACAAGTCGACCAGTTGAAAAACCACCTCCACCTCCTTCGGAACGTATAAGACGAATAGGAACAACATCATGGTATGCTGAATGTGGACTCTTTAAATCAGGCAGTGAGCAAGATGAAAGTGAGAAGAATGAGAAAGTGACAATGATGTCGTGGTATCAAGAGAGTGGACTCTACCAAACCAGCAATAATTCTGTTGCAAGGTAAAAAAATTTTGTTTAAAATTAGGTCGAAAATAATCACAATTTTAAATTTTTTAGTTCAAGTGGAAGTTCTGGAGTCTCAACGGGTGGTGAATGTAGTCCATGTGGCGATGAAAATTCTCATAGCATGTTTCTAAATGAACCGCTTTACCAACTTTACACAGCTGCAAAGCTTGAGTCTATTTCGTCAAGTGAATTTGAGCCTGAAAATGAATCAGATGGATATGAAGAAATTCATAAGAAAGATTTAGAGGCAATGATCATCAGCAAAAAACCGTCAAGGCCATCAGCATTACAATTGATTGAACCAAATCAAGGGCCATCGAGGACGTTGTGGAGTGAGGTACCTGAAGTTATACAATCAGAAATTTTATCATCATTAACAACGAATGAGAAAAGACTACAAGAAGCAAAATTTGAGATCTTAACATCTGAAGCTTCATATTTAAAGTCATTAAATTTATTAAAATCACATTTCATGAACCATCCAGCATTTCGAGATCCACAAAACCTTGATCCTCAAGACCGAAAAGCTCTTTTCTCAAACATCATTCCAGTTCAAGAATGTGCTGACCGATTGCTTTGTGGTTTGGAAAGTTGTTGGCAGGACAGTATAATGTTGAGTAACTTAGCAAAACATATTTTCAAGCATGCGGAGAAACACTTCCATGTTTACATATCGTATTGTGAGAACCAAGGACGACTTGATAGAACACTGAAGAGATTAAAGGAAACAAATATTCCATTTAAGGAGACACTCGACATACTTGAAAACGATCCAATTTGTTGTGGTCTCACTATTCATTCATTCCTCATGTTGCCAATGCAGAGAATAACTCGCTTGCCATTGCTTATTGATGCCGTTATGACCAAATTAAAATCAAATGATGAAGAATTTGACGATTGGAAAATGGCAATGGCAATCGCAAATAAGGTAAAAGAAATCTATTTAAATTAATTAATTATCAATTTACCATTTGATAACTTACTTTTTCTTCCTTTATCGTACCTTATTAAGGTTGTTGACCAATGTAACCAAGCTGCCAATCGTTGTGAGCAAGCTTTTGAAATGGAAACGCTCTCGAAACAAATTGAATTTCAACAAAATGTAACTCCATTCCCTCTAATACCGTTCAATACAGCAAATACCGGAAATAATAGACTCACACGAACGCTTGTAAGGCGCGGTGAACTCACACACATCATCTATCGTGGTGATGATGCAAAATTAACATTTGGCAAGAAAGCTACTGTTAAGAAAAATATTTATTGCTTCCTATTTACGGATGTCATTATTCTAACGAAAAAGAAGAGGTAAGCCGCTTAATTTAGCTTTAATGATTAGCTACTTACATGAGATAATTTTCTTCTCATTACAGTGATGAGTCTTATGTCGTTTTCGATTATTGCCAAAGATCGTTACTTCAATTATCATCGGGTGATGTAATCCCACAACTTCCCGTCAAAGATATGAGCACTACTGGAAAATATATCATCTTCATGTCACTGCTTGAAAATAATGCTGGAAAACCTGTTGATTTAGTAAGTTGGATGAGATTTTTAGAGTTTCTGCCTAGGAAATAAATTACAGTGCCAAAGTCAAATATTATCTGTGAATTTGGAATCTAAATTATGTTTACCTATCGGAATTGAGTTCAATGCCATTCACCTAGTTTTTTTAATTACCGAAATAACATGAAAAGACATAAAACTATAAAACAAAAACTTTTATCAATTTCAGATCTTGCAATGTCCATCTGAGACTGAACGACAACGATGGCTTCAAGCAACAGCACCACCAACATCAGAAAACCCATACGAAACGCTTTATGAGCAATGGGATTGTCCACAAGTTATTGTGAAGCATGCCTATCAAGCACTTGAGCCCGATGAGCTCACATTAGATGTCGGCGAAGCTGTGAACGTGTTGCGGAAGATGAAAGATGACGGTAAGTAGCAATAAAGATATGAGAATATAATGAATAATTTTTATTTCACGAAATTCACATAATTTTTAATTATTCAGGTTGGTATTTTGGTGAGAGAATACGAGATGGTACTCAAGGCTGGTTCCCAGGCAATTTTACAATGGAAGTGCATTCAGCTCACGTTCGTGCTAGAAACTTAAAGCAACGACATCGACTACTTCTATACACTGCCACTTATTTGGAAGCTCAAAAAGACATAAATAATATTAAGAGAAAATGAGACTTAAAAATTCCATTGGAACTTCCAGTCGCGCTCAGATTTTCATGTTTGCAAAATGATTTAACATTTTCTCTCTCACATGCGAGAGAGGAATAGTTGATGTCAATGATCGATCATTGTTGAAGCTTATAACAAGTGGCGAATCTAGTGGTGGGAATCAAAAGCTTTCGATCAAACAGACGAACGACTTACTTTTTTGTAAATGTTACTTATTCCTTTTCCTTATTTCTTATTTATAGTCAATTGTGATACGTAAGCTTTTTATTTTAAATGAAAAGATTTAGAATTGATATGAATAGTCTTGCCGATAAACATTTTTAGGAACGAAGAAATTATTAAAATTTATTATGAAAATCATTTGTAGCTTTTATTATACTTATTATTATGCTATTGTTTATAATTGAAACATATTTGGGGCAATAAAAGAAGTATTATCATTGAACATATTTTTACTCATTTAATTTTGCAAACAGTTGGTATGCAAATAGTTATAGGTATTAACAGGAGGACGTGAAAACATCAATATTGAATGGATTATTGGTGGTCTTTTATTTTACTTTTTGCACTTTAACAATGTCATTCGCATGTATGCAGTTGAACTTGGAGTGAACAAGGATTTCAAACAAGAATGAATCACATGTTTTGAGAAATAATTTTAAAAACCGGTAATGTGTCAAAATAAAAAGCAGAGGAGCTAATTGAATAAACATTATATGATTTTATAGCAACAACAGATTAATCGAAAGGTTTTAGCAAACCATGCCTTTAAAACCCTTTCTCAAGGGAAAAAAAACTATTGGAGATCAACTCAGCTTGAACTTGTCAAATAATTTAAAAAAGCATACAGTACACGTGACTACTAGAGCCATAAATACGCTTGCTTACGACAAAAGAACAATAATAATATTATGACGTCAAATATTAAGAATTCAAACCATACTTCTAGGCCTAACGTGGCTACAAAACATTATTTATTTTAAAGCTCTTCATTCCAGATATTTTTGATAATTTTTTTCGAATATATACAAGGATACATTATCTACTTGAGCATTTTATGGATAAGAATTTACTTGTCATCTCATACTAAGCTACTCATCCACAAAGTAATAATTTCAGTCAAAGACATAATTTTTTTTTTTCAAGATGCTCATTAATAAATTTATGTGGCATTAAAAAATGGAATTTGCGTAAAATCATGAGTATCGCAGATAGGAAGATATGATATCAAGTCAGTGGTTGACTAATTTAAATAAAAAATTCACGTGTAAAATAATCAAACATAAGATCGAGCGACTTAAAATATTATAAACAGTTTTGCGATATTTGTAGTTGTGGAACTGCAAATAATTGAGCACGAGAATCTTTCCAAAGATCAGTACTCAATTGGTGAATGATTAATATTCAAGAGTCAATAATAAGTTAATTAAATTCTCTATTTGCAATTCAAGTGAAGTGTTGATTCTAAGCTAACAAATGTTTCCATTAAATTAAGTAATTATTGCCACTGTCTAAAGGATTTAAAACATGTAAATCCATCAGATGGTGGTTTAAAAAATTCCAATTAATTTCATTTCAGAAATATACAATCTATTTTGTTTTAATTTTTCTCTAAGTTCACCAACAATTAGTAAGGCGCTAATCACTCAGTGATTTATTCAGTTATTCAGACTGTATTTAACATACAAATTATTACAACCAAATTTTCTGTCATTTTGGTCCATTTACATAATTTGTTAACTAATGTGTTAATTTGAAACTGTACATATTTAATCATAAACAGTTCCTTTCTTCGGTACAGAGCTTTGTTAGAATCTGTTCATTTTTGCATGACCTTTCAATTTTCTCTTTTCGATAATCTTCGTACTTGTAACTTTTTTCCTTCAGCATAATTATAATATGATAAAAATTATTCCACGCAAAATTTTATTTGAACTGTGGTTCCGATAATTGGCTTTGAAAACTTCTCTCATGACACTTCCTTTATAATATTTATTTTTTATATCGATGCCAATCAAATAATATTTTATTTTAAAAGGCCAGTAAAGGTAGTCATTGAAAAATTCTATAATTTTTCTAAAAATGTACATGATGTCGATATTGATATTTTTATAAACGTTTAACATGCTTGAAGTCATTTTTAAGAAAATGAAAGATTAAACTTCTAGAAGACGTTTTTCACACAGTATTTACAAGAATGCTTCATAAGATGGTACTTTGTGTATGGACGAAATAGCTTATAAATAGTTTTTGAGTTGATTTTTAAGTAGCTTTGCATAGTTTGCATATCTCAATCTATTAATTATGTGACAACATCATTAGTTCTTGAATTAAAATTAATAATATCTAATTCATAATTTTAGTGTTAATGAACAGTTTTTTGTTAAAAGAATGAAAGTTTTAAATCTTTAATTTAAAATTTTTCTTCAAATCACGAGATTCTTATGACAAATAAAAACTAAACTGATGTTGAAAATTATAAAAGAGGATGGATACATTCAAAATAAAAGATTTGATTGACAAGAATGATTTTTCATATTTATCAAAGGAAGTTAAAAAAATCACGTAGGCACTAATTGGATAAGTTTATTAATTATACTTGGCTTTTCAGGAATTATGTACGTTTTGAAATTTTTGCACTCCTCTTACGAATTCCTTTTAGGGATTTTTGGAGCTATTAACAACAATAAAGTTAATTAAGGAGCAAAAAATTAAATCTGGGTTTCTTAAAATTAAAATACTATGTGTCGTTACCGTAAAACCGGGAAAAACCAAATTTATGGGTAAAATCTAAACACGCATCTACCGAAATTATGGTTTATATACAGGACTGGTGAAATGAAAATAATTAGGATGCTCGCTGAAAATGCAAAGTTTTTACAGCTGAATGGATGTTTTCATAAACAGCTGAGCAAGGTTATTTCCTTTGTTAAAAGATCAACAGTGCAGCTTTAAGATTTAGTGCCATTTTCTTGATTTTTAGCATTTTAGCTCTTTTTCCTGCCATTTAAAATCTGGTAAATACTGAATAATCGGTTTGCTTTTGAATCTTTATTAGTTTTATGTTTATAGATGAAATTATCTTTTTTCAAACAAACTCAAATTAGCACTTTAAAATTTTAATTTTTGCATTGAAAATGTGCGAAGATTAAAAAACCAAATGACTTATAAAAATGACTTTTCTATCATAACCATTAAACTGTGGATGTTTGAATCGATAGATGGCACTAGTGTCGCTTACTCATTGTCCGTATAAATTCATTGAACAGGCATTATTTTCGTTTATTTCGTTTTGACATTTTCATCTCAACTTAGTGGAGGAAAGATTATTAAAATTTAATTAAAAAACTTGTTAAAAATTGTATAAGAAAATAAGGTGCTAAAATTACACAAGAAGTAAGAAATTTTAATTTAATAAATTCTAAAATCATAAAAATTGAAAGTGAATAAGAGCCAAGTTTAAAGTGATTTGCTGATAAAATTTGCATCATGATATCTTAATGATCTCCAAAAGTGCTAATTGAAAAATTGACATTGCGATTAATGATAATAAATTTATATTTTTAATCTTCAACAACTATTGACATTTAGCTATCTGTGGAATTTGGAAAAAATGTATTTTGTGAATTTCAAAAATGCCTGTTCTTTCGTGGATAAATCCAAATTTTGTGTCCTGTATTTTTGATTGTTCCTTATTTATTATTTGTTAAATATAAATGTTGTAGGATGGAGACTAGGATTTAAGCTAGGCTAGGTTTTAAACATCTAATGTATAAATGTGATTAATTAAGGTATGAATGATATAAATTGATAAAAAATTATTTTTATTGGGCGTGTAATAAATTCCCATCCGACAAGTTCAAAGGTTTTATGTGAAAAGAACGAAAATATTTTGGGACGAGAGGAAAGTGACTCGAAAGTTCAAGAATATGAGGCATGATTTCAAAAAAAGGACTTTATATATGTCGTCTTCGACAATTGATTCAAAAATGTTCTGGCTAGAACTTGAAAAATGATTTTCATTGGAATGTCTAATTGCTAAGTGAAATTGATTCACGAAATTATTTGAATGAATGAGATTAATAATTTAAATGTTTGCCAGATGATGATTAAATTAATGATAACTAGTTAAAATGTTAAATAATTTTTAAAATTTATATTAATGTGTAAGTCTTTTCGCTGAATTTCATTTTTATGGATTAAATGTTTGATTGTGAGATTTCGACTTATTTTGTGATTTATGTTCTGAATTATTAGAACCATTAACTTCTGAATTGGAATTACTCTTGTCATTTTCATTAAAATTTCTACCATTACGGCAAAAGCAAAACAATATGTGATAGTTGCCTTTACCGATACCTTCTATCTTACATCGGAATTTTTGGCACAACCAAAATAAATATGAAAATTAAGCGATGTGTAGAAGTGCATATAGTAATGGATTTAATTATTTTTGAGTGTGATTAAAAATGCTGGATTATTATAAACACCGTTGGTGTTGAGTAATTTTTTTTTTCTATAAATTTGACCATGTTAAATTACACATTTAAATGCCCATATGAGCATAACAGTTCTTGTGAATTTTTGAAAAGCACGTGGCAAGTTCAAGTTCATAATTCATTTGCAGTAGTAATAGTCACTTTAAAGTAGTAATAGGTCAGTTTGTGGATTGATAACCAATCATACTTGAAAGAATTGAAAGGATTAACATGTAATGTGAATGATATAACAACTCACCTTTCGATCTTTTGACATTCAGAAAAAATATCAATATTTTCTATTTTTTGAAATTTCTACCATTCTGTATTTGAATTCAACCCCTGAAAATTAATCAGATTTTTTCACGTCAAATTTAAAAATCATAAAAAAAATTTCATATTGTCAAACTTTTTGACCATCATGCATCATTGAATAAAACAAATTGCAATCATCTAAATTCACTATCAATACCAATTAACTAAAGATGATGTACTTCAATGCTTATGAGAGTCTGATTAGCACTCACTTTTAAAAAGTGTTAAAAATTATTTCATTTAATGTCAATTCACGTGTTGATAATTTGATTTTTCGGAAGATTAAATATTTTGACAAGCCATTTTTCGCATCAATTCAAATATCATTGCCAATAACAGTGTATTTAACAAATTTTTCACATTTTATTGCAAACAAATAAATTTGCTAGTCCAATTTTATTTGTCCTTCGAGAAGGTCTTTATGATATTATTGAAAATTTACGCAAAACTCAATGAAATAATCATTAAACGATTGATGTTTGCTATTTTCGAGAATAAAATTTTATAGAATAAGTTCACACATCAATCCGTGCAAAACTTGAATTTCCAAAATGTGCGATTTATTTTTTTTTGCCAAAAAAAATGCGAATGAATAATAATTAAACTTTTTATTACACGTGTAGAGACGTACAGCTTGAGAAATGTAAATTTAAAGAACAAATCATATACTGTCTTTTAAGACATAAGTTTAATGATACAATAAGGATATATCAATTATTTACAGTATTTAATTCTATCATGGTCACGGTGATTTACAATTTATAAATTTTTATTGGATTTTCCATAGGTTAAGGTTAAAATTAAGTGTTGGGTCAATTTCTTTTATGGGAGGTCTCACGTGGTACTATCGAAGTCAGTCTATGGATATATTAAGAATTATTCTAGATCCAAAAATTTTATTTTATTTTCTCTCAAAAATACCCTGGACGAAATATTACTTGAGGTATTTAACAAGTTCTTAAAAGGGAGTTGACAGAAATTTAATTAATTTCATAACTTCACAAAATCTTACCTATAAAACCTTCATTTCTTTTATTCGTTAAAAAATAAAATTCCCAGAATTAAGAATGAATAACTTACGTTATTTCCAAAAGAATGGATGTAAAGAATGTGTCAAGATTAAAAGAGATGTAATTAAGAATGGTTCTATTATTTTCAGACTTAAACTTTCAATTGATTGTTTACGTCAGCAAATTTTACAATAATAAACATATAAATGATTACAACGTTGAACCTAAACAAATCAAACTACAGCACTTGATTTCCATGACGCTTTTCAGGATTTAGAAAAATAATTCGAGAGTCATTCACATTTTGACATGCCTTATTCTTTAAAATTGAAGATGACTACGTGGTTACCGGAACAATTTTTGATTTTAGAAATAATTAAGCATGGATAGCTAGAAATCCAAGTATTTGACAGTCCTCAAAGATTCCATTTAAATATTTCTCAAAAAAATAAATTTTCGGTTATAATTTTCTAATTGATTAAATGCGATCAGCACCACTGCTGTCAGCAAAAAAGCGCAAAATTTGCATTTGATTCCTCAGATTTTATCGTCTTACACTTTCAATGATTGTTTGGATATCCACATTTGATTAATATTATGAGAATTAATACACCATAATATTTATTTGGCAATGATGATGTCGTCAAAGTACACAGCAATAGGCAAATCATACATTAATAAAATTGATGGTCGATCTTTTCATTTAATCTTTACAAATATTTTGCAACAAATTTTAGAATATGGACATACTTGATAGGATATATGGAGGATGGCGTTATATAATGGAGCAGAAATCAGATCCGCGAACTAGAAATTGGTTTATGATGAACAGCCCATTACCGACAATTGCCTTGAGTGCAACTTACATTATCACAGTGAAGGTTGGTTTTTTTTTATTTTAACATTTAGATGTACATACCTTATATCCATATTTGCATATATTAATCTATTGTGATCTTCAACAGATTATCGGTCCAAAATTAATGGAGAATCGAAAGCCACTCGAAAATGCAAAAAAACTTCAATTCTATTATAACTTATTTCATTTACTCATCAATGTTTTCCTTTTCTATGAGGCATGCGCGACTGGTTGGCTTACATATTATTCCTTCCGATGTCAACCGGTTGATTTTAGTATGGAAGGAGTACCATATCGTGTAATGAATACATAAATTCATTATTGACACTTACTGTTTATGTTTAAATATTATCTTTATTGCAGATCGCCGTGGATTGTTGGCTGTATTTCTTAAGTAAATTTACCGATTTCTTTGAAACGTGTATATTTGTGATGCTTAAACGATTTGATATGATTAACCTTTATCATGTTGCGCATCATAGCATTATGCCTGTAAGTTTTGAATTGCATCCGTACCTTAATATAAATTAGTTATTACTTGCATATGTCTAATTAGGTCTCAGTCTGGTGGGGTGTGAAATTCTTAGCTGGAGGTAATTAAAAAACAAGTTTAAGTTCAAGTTTAGGTATCTTTAAATCATGTTTGCACAATTTCTTCTTCTATTTTTGTAGGTCATTCAACATTTTTCGGCTTGATCAATACGTTCGTTCATATTGTTATTTACACTTATCTGCTTACCATACAGCAATTCCCATCAACAAAAAATACAATTTTCTTCTGGTGGAAGCCATTCTATCCGTTTTTCCAGGTAAGTTGACAGCATAACAGCAACCATAAAAAATTGTCAATATTTGCTTCATTGACATTCCTTTTTGAAGGTTGTTTTTTGTGTCTAATGATTTTATTGATTTTATAGATTGCCCAGTTCGGTCTAATATTCCTTCACGCATTCCAATTGATAGTAAGCAATGAATGCAACTATCCTATGAGGTTTGTGATATTTGTCTTTGTCAGTTAATTCATTTGCTATTTAATCTTATCGTTATTTACTTCCAGTTTTGTATATTTCATTGGCGGTCATGCAGTGCTATTTTTCATATTAGTACGAAGTAAAATGGTAAGCAAGCGTATTCATTAACAAACCTTAATATTATTATTACAAAACCTTTTATTATTTAGCATTCTGATAAATTAAAGCTTCTAAAAGTTGAACCGAATACCAAAAAGCATGAAACAGACGAAAATCAAAATGTAATTGAGAAAGTAATTGAATCCACCTACGAAACAACGCGGCAAAGAGTACTTGTAGAGCCATCACGATGAAGATGTAACAATTTATGATGAGACCATTCCTCTAAGGTTAACTGTCTTTAAACGCTTTATAAATATTTGATTAAATAAATAGAAATATAAGTTTAGACATTAAGAAAAAAATTTAAGATCAAACAGTGTCAAAACATTAAGCATTGGTATTTAGCTTCATGGATATTGAAAGTCAAGTTCAATAAAACAGGTGTAAACATCTCTTTAAATAACGATTGTTTTTATAGTTTGAAAAACGATAGCAAGTTGATTTTCCAGTGGACTATATTTCAATTCCAATAATAAAAAGAATTACAAAAGAAAATTCTATTTATTCACAATTTCAAGTTATACGTGATCAATTTCCAAATTATCAATTTCAAATATATTTCAAACCTCCTTGAATCATGATGAATTCCATTCATCACTCTGCCGTCTCGATAGGAAAACTTACAGATATAATTCACATGTCGCTTAACTTCGCTTGAAGATGTCTTTACAGTAACGGATCTAATTTTACCATCTCTTTCCTTATGTAGAATAACAATCCTTCCAATCTTCCACTTCATTGATTGTACAATCGAATCCATGATGAGAACCAAATCATTCAAATAATATTGAACCTTTTTTGTTGAATCTTTTGGTCTTACTAAGCGTTGATCAAATCCTTATACCAAAACTTCCAAAATAACTACTGTGCTTGTTGAATCATATCCCATCGTTTCAGTTGACCTTGTTGTCTATCTGTAAAGTCACGTTCCAAACGACTGTTCAACGGCCGTCCAATCAAGAAATGGCCAGGTGTAAGAGCCTCAAAATCATTTGGATTATCGCTTATAAATGTAACGGATCGGGAATTCAAAACTGCTTCAATTCTAAATAAGAGAGTTGAGAATTCCTCATAAATCATTAATCGATCTGTCATAACTCTTTTTAAATGATGCTTCATTTGCTTGATTCAATTTTCCCAAAATCCTCCCGTATGAGGTGATCGAGGTGAAATAAAATGCCATTTTATATTTTTGTCATTGTAATATTCTTGAATTTGTTCTTCCAAATCTTTAGCCAATTTCTTGAATTCATTGCCTGCACCTTCAAAACATGTTGCATTGTCTGAGTAGATATCAGTTGGAAGTTCTCTGCGTGATATAAATCTATCGAATGTGCCAATGAAAGCCACTCTTGTCAAATCCGTTAGTAATTCTAAATGAATTGCCTTTGTAGACATACACTTGAATAATGCGACATAGGACTTCATTGCAGTTGTACTACGAACCTTCCCAGCTTTAATTAATAAAGGTTCAGCATAATCGATTGCTACCTTTTCAATGATGGACAGTTTCACGTGATTTTGTGAAAAAATTGAGCATACAAGATTAACAGGTTTGTTGTTTGACAAGAAAGTTTTCCTATTTTTTTGATTCACTAGCCGTATATTTTACTAAATTATATCTTCCTTCCAAAAATTTACATAACTCATGAAATGTTGGTTTATGAGTATTAATGTGCAAATTCCATTCTCTTCTGGTAAATTTATCAAGTCTATCTCTGATCATCTTTTCGTACATCAAATCCATAAACTCCTGATCAGTTACATTCTGTTTTACAAACGATGACCTTATGCTGACGTATGAATCCACCAACTTTAATATATCTTGAGTCTTGTAAATTTTCTCAACTTTGAACAATGAATCTGTATATTCTAATAACATTGCTCTACGATCATCAAATCTCGAACATAATGCTTTCCAAGCATTTTCATACGTGTCATCTGTCACTTGATAATTATTAAGGATATTTTGAGATGCAGGTTCTTTCTTTATAGAACTTTTCAAATAATGAAACTTGTCGATGTTAGAGAATGATGAATTCGTAAGTACTTTTCTTACTTGATGGCGTCGATCTTCATTTTCTCGAATTGTAACATCGAACTGTCTTTCTGATTTTGCTTTTATTTTATTAAACAAAAATTTAAAACCTAGATGCTTCGATGTTATTTGCTTTTTGAACGTTGAAAATAATTCACTGTCTAGATCAACATCATCCTTTTGTAAGTTTTGATAATCATTCTAATGTTGCATAAATTTAATTAGATAATTATCTAGGATGTTATAAGCTGTACTCATATCATCGATGTCTTCATAATCAATTCCTGGTTCATGTATTTCCATCAAAATTTCATATGCATCAATAATGGATCGCATTTCTATTTTTTGAGCCTCTATTGCTTTTGCTCGTGCTATTGTCAAATACTTAAATTCTGCTTCTTAGAGATGATAACTGCTCTCTTGCGTCGGGTTCACGCTCGTTTCCAAATTATCTTGATTTTAACAAGTATAATATGAATCTAGCCCTTGAACCAGTTCAATCAACTCCAATACACTGAATTCTTTTCGTTGACTAAACTTCAAAAATTCAATTTCAATTATAGATGCTGACCAGAATTTTCAGCGTTTATGATGTGCTGTCCAATTTTCAATTTGTTGATAATTCACTTTTATTATTCAATTTCAATATCAAAGCGTACTTGCGTTGCGTTGCAAATTTCTCAATTCTCAATTTCTTCAACTTTTTTTTTCTCAATGTCTTCCAACTTCTAAAGATTCCAACTGTTCCAATCGCAAGGTTCGAAGGACCATGAAAAACGATAGCAAGTTGATTTTCCAGTGGACTGCATTTCAATTCCAATAATAAAAAGAATTAAAAAAGAAAATTCTATTTATTCACAATTTCAAATTATACGTGATCAATTTCCAAATTATCAATTTCAACTAAACATCAAATAAATTCCAAGCCTCCTTAAATCATGATGAATTTCAATCATCGTAGTTTTTGATAGTATCGCAGTATAGCTTTGATAATGTTGAGACAGATAATTACTATAATTTTATATTATTTAATAAATTTCATAGTACATGATCATTATCTATAGTCACAGTCAAATGATCATTATGTAAACTGATAGGATGATTTAATTAAAACTTTATTAAAGCGTTCTTACTTATTACATCATTTTGGACACTAATAAATTCAATGATGCATCGGAGTCCTTTGTCTGATTGACATGCGACATAAACTTCTCTCAGCACTGTCTGCTCTTTCTTCTGCTTTCATTAATTCCTTTTCAATGCACTTTATACGCGATGTTGATCGGGCAATACTTCTTGACTAAAAGATAAAACAATTAAATACAAAGTTTTATTTTTTGAATGCCATTTGCTTACTTCTTCAAATTGTTTATTTTTATATTCATGAAGTTCCGCTTTTGCTTTGTTTAATTCCTCTTGTAAAACAGTTGCTCTTGCTTCTGAATTTTCACATCGATAGACATTATCTCTGAGAGATTTTTCCAAATTTCTGAACAGCTCAATTGTTTCCTCATGTGATCTACGCTGAAAATCTAGTTCATGTTCTAAATAGCGTATAACCTCACGATACTTTTCAATTGCCGTCTTTAATTTCATGTCAAAATTTTTGTCCGACTTTTCATGACGCTTAATGAGTGTCTAGTTAAGTAAAAAAATATTTGAATGAGATAAATCATCTGAGATCTAATTGTTCTTACCTTAATCTCATTATCCAATGTACCTTTGATGTTCTCTAACCTATTCATTCTAGAAATTTTCTTTTCAATCCTCTCGTCAGATTTTTTTAATGCTTCTTGATCTTTCTTGTCATACTCATCTTTCATTTCATATTCTCTAAGTACTTCCTCATAAGCTTTTCTGTAATGCTTAATTTCTAGATCCAATAATGTTCTTGTTTCTATACAAAATGACTTCATTCGTTCATCTTCCTGTTCTTTTTCTTTAATTGACAATTCTTCTTCCTCAACATCATAAAATCTTGCCATACGTTTTGATTGGACAGATGTGCCATAATTTTTGCGCACTTTTTCCAGCTCAATAGCCAGACCCTCAATAACGACTTCTGGTTTTGGTTTTTCAACTTTAGGTTTGTAAATTTGAAGAGTTTGGAGAGGAATTTTATCCATTTTGATTTATTTTTTATAGCTTAAAGCTTTCAGCTTCTTAATTAGTTGACTTTTTAATATAAACTAAAAAGGAAAATTTCATCTTCTAGATTTTTATTATTTAATAAAAATTACTAATGGATATTAATAGATTTGACTTTTTATTTTCACTTTCCCGTTCAATGATGATCAATACGATGATAATATAATTGCGAATTATTTTGATGACTTTTAAATAGGTAATTAATGAAGTCGTAACGAACTATTTTGATTTAATTTAATTCGTAGCTGTAAATTAATTTAAATTTTATTTAACTAGAAAACAGTTTTGATTTTTTGCATGCCATAATCAGTTATAATTACAAAGAAGTTACTTTTTCGACAATATCTTACATTCAAATAAATCTCAATGAATATGTGGACTTTATCTCAAAGTGTGACATGATAAACCTGTAAAAAAATAAAGATCCACAGCTACATATGACACAGAAATTTTGGATTTTTAATGAAAGTTTTATTAATAAACTTTTTTGTTGTTTTGTTACATCGATCGAATTCAATAGATTTTTTTTGGCAAGATGTTAATATAATTACAAGAAAATATGCATATCTCCAAAGGGGATTGAACAAAAAAACGTAGTAAAATAAAAATAAAAGAAATCATAAAAGAACAAACTCAGGAACTATACAAGTAACAGACAATGAAAAAATGATGTTTTTATATGAAAGCCCGGGTTGTTGCGTAGTTGTTGTTAGCTTGAAAAATCTCTAGAGTTGCTTACAATTCCTCCATATATGGCTCTTATTTTATTTAAACGGCAAAAAATTTTTGGACCATAAATTTAACTTTTACAGCCCTCATTACTCATTTTAAAAATACAATAATTAATAAAAAAGTTTTTTAATTTAATATTACATAAAAATTGGTTTTTGTATGTGTATGTGTGTATGTGTAAATGGTTTTTGGTTCTTCTTAAATATCCACCATGATGTTGTGTTAGGTGTTTGCTAAAAATTCTCATCAAAATTTGCATTTCATTTTTATTTTATTTTATTTTATTAAATAAAAAATAAGTTAAGTTTCATCATTGATCAAAAATAAATTCATCAATCTCTCTCTTTCGTGCTGTGATCTATATAGCTTTTTGGATGTCTATAATATGTGTATGTTTATAGGTGTAAATATTATTTTTTGTTTATCATTGATTTGCAATTAAAAGGCATTTAAGAACGTTCAATTGATGATTGACGAACGGTTTCTGAGACTAAATAGAGTTGACTGCCAGGAACTGTTGATGTTGTGACAAATGTACGATGCTTGGTACGGACCATGTTCAAATTTGTTTCAGCAACATCAGCACGTTCTTCTGCAGTTTCCAATTCACGTTGTACGCGACGAACACGGGTGATTGATGATGCTGAGAGTGCCTCCTGAAAATTTTAAAATTTTTTTTAATATTGTTGCTTAAACAGAACAAATTGATTCTTACCTGTTCAGATAATTGACGTTTGTATTGAGAGAGTCTGCCATTAGCCTTGTCCAATGCTTCTTGCAACAACAAAACATTCTTTTGATCTTCTTCGCATTGAATGACAATTTCCTTGACTGTACGTTCCTTCTTTCTCAAGATCTTGATGGTTTCAGCGTGGTTCTTCTTTTCGGATTCCAATTCAATTTCCATATCACGGACGCGTGATTCCAATTTTGAAATAGCACGTCTGGCTCCAACAACTGCGTTAGCTTCAACTTCTTCAAGACGGACTGAAAGATTCTGGAATAAAAATTCAAAAAAAAAATAATATGAACTGAATTTATCGGGAGGATATTTATAAATTCTTACCTTGACTTCAACTTCCAATGACTTCTTGATTGTTTCAATCTTAACGATGCGTTCTTGTTCCTCATGAAGGATTTGGATTGTGCTCTTAAGCTCCACCTATAATGAGTAAAATAAGATATTTTAAAAAAAAATGATCAACATAGATGTAAGTTAATCTCAATTATTACCTGTACTTTCTGGTAGCGCTCATCACTCATACGTAATTCACGTGTAACTTCTTCGTAGTCTGAAGCTAATGTGGTGAGTTCAGCTTCAATCTTGGAGCGCATGTTTTGTAAGTTAATATTGATGTTTGTCAATTCAGAATTACGAGTTGATGATTCTTCCAATGAGATTTCGACTTGACGTTTAGAGCGGAGTGCTTGATCATAGTTGGCACGCATTTCTTCCAATTCACCAGCCATTGATTGGATACGACGTTGGGCAATGCTGTATTGATCAATTGTTGTTTGCAATTGACGTTGGAGTTCTTCATATTGAGCAGTGATTTCAACCAACTGCAATGATTGTCTCTTGATTGTCTTTTGCAAATCAATGTTGGTCTTGTTAGCAACATCCAATGACATTTCCAATTCAGTGATGGTGATTTGGAACTTCTTCTTGATGCGTTGAACTTCACTCTTCAATTTAGTTTCAGCCTCAATGACACGTGCATTAAGTTGTTCAATTTCAATGCTTGTTTGCTTGCTAGAAGGATAAAATTTTTAAGACATATAGTAAGAAGAAGGACATGGGAAATTGATATTTCAATCAGCCATTTTCAGCATCATTATCAACTAGTCGTGTAAAATAAATTTTCTGTATCACAATGATACATCCCACCACAGATAATTAAATTAGAATGTCAAGAGATGTTCATACTTTATAGTAATAAGTTTTATTTTTAAATCATTTTGGCAATAAAGATTTACACAGAATAAAAATATTATTTTGTTAAAATTGAGGGAGCAAGAAGACACACACACAATATTCAAGTTACAATCGCTTAAACGCTTCTGTAATTTTGAAGGTCTTGTATCTTGTGTCAGCAAGGTAATCATCAGTGTGTCGTGAAAGTGTGCTTACTTCACCACGTAATTTTGTCAAATGACGTCCGTAAGTTCGTTCAAAACAATCAGATTCTGATTCTTGCTTTTCTAAACGATCTTGAAGGATTCGCAATTGATCTGCGCGAATATCACGTGAATTTTTACGTGGCTGTTCAGATGCAATAGATCCTTCGACATCAGAAACGACTGATTTCTCCTTTTGATGTTCCTCCTCTTCCTTCATAGCTTGTTCGATTTTATCTTGCTTGTCAAGTTTGCAACCAGCTGAGAGCATACGAAACTTTGCACGATGATTGTAAGAATCTTCACCAATTCCTTTCTTCATTTCCTTTAAATGTTCATTATGAGAATCGAGGACAATATCTTTAACTTTATCTTTATCTTCAAAGCGATTTCTTAATTTTGGATTATATAAATTTTTCCTTGTAAAATCATACTTTCCAGCTTTTCGGTAATAGTTGTTTGCATTTGCACAAGATTCACGAATTTCATCGACTTTATTCTCAATATCTTTTCTCATCTGGAATTCTCTGGCACTTTCACAATTTAATTTTTGTGATGGATGAAAATCTTTCAATATATCCTTTGCTCTTCTCTCAGCACGTAAATTAATTTGAATCATATCTTCTTGAGTAAGATGACGTGGAACAAATGGACGATGTCCTCGACTCTGTCGAATATGTTGGATTGGCACAAATGGAACTTCTGCAATTCCAAGTCCAGGAATTTTTAAATCAACATCATACATTGGTTCATAGTAAGTGAGGGTATATCCATAGCGGTCACTATAGTGAGGTTGTGATAAAGCGCCGTGGTACTTTGGATATGCTGGGGTCCTTAAAACACTGAATTCTTCCATTTTTGACTTTAATTCCAGAAAATTATTTCAGTTCCAACAAAAGTTTAGACTTTTAATTAAAAAAAAAAAATTTTTCGACACTTTTTCTAGATTTTCCTCGAGATAAGTTCTAACGAGCTCAACGTTTGCCTTAATACTAAAAAGTTTTTCCACCTCACGACTTTTTTTCTTATTCTCATTATTAAACAAACGAATGAAAGACGATATTTATGATCATCTTCTTCGCGATGACTATGGGCCGTCAAAAAATAAAGGAATAAGAAAATCGTCTCAATTTTTATCTCATTTAGAAGACGTAATACAAGCACAACACAGAGAGTTTACTCAAGGTCCGGTATAAACAACATATTAGTTGAATAAAATAATGAAGATTTAATAAAATTTGATAGTTTCTGATCTCGTGCATGTCAGGAAATTTCTTTGCAGTTGGTTGAGTAATAAAACATCTGTGGATATTTATAGATGCGATGTAGAGTGCCAAAAAATGAACTAATAAATCATTAAGATTATATTTTTTGGTAATTAAGCGAAATTAGGTACAAGGGACATAAAATTAATTGTGGATAAATAACAAGCTACACGAGCTGTCGCGTGTAGTGTTCCACAAAGTTTTTCTCAGTTTTTCTATCTAAAATTAAGCTTCTCCGTACACCGATACTTGAGAAGTTTTATGTCATTTTGGATTCTGTCAATTTCTCGCTTGTATTTCCTTCCATAAACTTCCGTCATCACATTCTCATCCATATACTTTTTAATTCTTTTAATAGCACTTTCTTGCTTTTTCTTCTCCTCATTCCTTTCTTTAAGATCTTCTTCTAACAATTGTCTAGCGTGCCTCACTGGTGGTGGTGATGGAGCTCGTTTAATTCCCGCAGCTAAAATTTTATATTTCATTTTATGTGGAAATGTATCTTGTTTGACACGATTATAAATTGGATTTGTATGCTTTAGCACGTCCTTAACTAAAATATCACAAATATCATTAGCTGACTTTCCTTTAATTTGCTCTCTAACACGAGAATTTAAAATGTCACGGTGCTTCAAATCTAGTTGCTCAACATCACGAAATAAATCATTAATCTCATCACAAATATGTTCAATTTCCTTTGATGCTGCGTCTCTTTCCTTTTTTCTGACCATCGCTTCTATTTCATCAATAAATTTTTCATCAATTGGATCGTCAAATGGTTGAAGAGCTTGACGGCGACGACGTTCACAAATGTCCTCTGATCGAGGAACTTTTACTCCACCGGAAGTGATTGGATTATAGTAAATAACGGCATAGCCAAGTCGATCATTAAAGACAACTCGTTCAACTCGATGTGAATTCATTGTTGATTGATTAAGGATTGAATACGAACTGAGGGAAATCGCAGGCATACAACAAGTATTTATTAAGGCACGAGAAATCTTTTATTATCATTGATAGCTTAAAATAATTTTTTTAATAAGCAGAACAACATGTGTCATAGAATTGTATTAGTAAAGAGTTCTGAGGTAGCTCAAATTTTTAAAAATCGTTAATGTTTGTTTAATATTTATTTTTTTCAGTGTAACCTTAATATGATACATGACTTATATCCTTTACTCATTTTCTCATAATATATTCATTGTAATTGCGAAGCCTTTTATTTATTTGATGAATCCTATATTTTGCATCTCCAATCAATTCATTCGTGTCATTTGTCATATTCTCAGCTTCATATCTTAGTTTTGCGACAAGTCTCCTACAATTACCCTCGATCTTCCTTACTTCATCATCAGTTCTCTCCTTCTTTGCTCTATATCCACCTCTTTTATCTTGTTTTTCCTTAATCTCATCAATTGCATTTTCGTAAATCTTCATCATCTTTGATTTTCTCGACAATATGTTTTCTCGGCCTGGTGGACTTCTGTCTTGCACATGACTTAGTGGAATATATTTTCTATTTCTTTCAGCAAATCCAAATCCCGTGGGTTGATATGGCATTAAATCATATGTGGGTTTTGAATGAACGACACCATAACAATGAAATTTATTATTACAATATAAAGAACTGCCGACTTTACCGCGGCTATATGTTGGATAAATTGGTTTACTGTATTTTATTGTATCCCACGTTTCAGGAATATCTATTTCTTCTGCTTTTGTAGCTACCATTTTAATGAATAACTATAAAAATTGATTTGCAAATGTCTTATAAATACGAAATAATGTCTAATTATAGCAAGTAACGTTTGATGACGGATGGAAATCAACCTTGAATATTATTTTGCACAATGTGAATGTGTGATTGATTGAAAAGAAAATCAGGAAATTGAAAATAATTATTATTTTATTGAAAATATTTGGCACTGACAAATCACTTTTCTTCTTTTTCTTCATTAAAGGCATTCGAAAGCTGCTCAATGCGTTCATAAAGCTTATCAATTGATTCACAATAGACTTGGATCTCGTGGATTGCGTCTTGGCGACGTTTTGAGATTTTATGCTCACAACTGTCATGAATATCTAGAATTACTGATTTTTTCGGGTGCTCTTCAATATTATCTTGATTCTCGTTATCAGTTTCTGACTTTTCAGGTTTAGACTTGTTCAAATAGGTCTCATATATCTCATTTACATCATGAATGACATCATTTACATTTCGACTTTGAATTGAATTTTTGTAGCTTGGATACAACATTTCACTGCGATTATGATCAAAATCTCTGGCTTTTCTGAACAGATCTTTTGCCTTTGCACATGTATCATGCAGTACTTCAATTTCCCTTTCCATATTTTTCCTTTTTAAAAAGTCACTTGGCGTTTCTCTTAATTTCCACACCCTCGTCGGTTCTGGCTTACAACGAGGACGTAGACTTGGCAAATTAATCTTTTTGGAACGTTCTAGTATTTCAAGTTTTGTATCACGCATGTGTAATGGAGGATAGTATGCGATCGCATATCCATATCGATCGTTGTAAACGACTTTTGAGAGTTCTTTCGACATGACTTTAGTTGATGAAATAAAATTATTGACTAACAAATAATTTCAATATCTATCAACTTTATAAATATTAACAATTTCCGATGACATCCTTGAATGTATGAATCGGTCCTTTCTAATAATAAATGTAATAACAATCCTTGAATGTATTAGGAAATTCGATTATAATTAAACTTATTCATTTTTGCTTTGTTGACTGCTGAAAATAGTCAGTCGATTAATGAATGAGTCTTACGAATGGCGACCATGAAAAATGTTACAAATTGATTTTTCTTCGAATTTTATCTTCTTTTTATTTCTTCTTCGCTTTTCTCGATTCAATTTTCGCATTTTACAATTTTTTCTTCTTTTTTATTTCGTTTTTTTAAATTGAAATTTTAATTTTAATTCTCGAATTTAATTGATTAATTGGGGGTTACAATTGAAAAGTTTTACAACTTTTTGAAGTTTCTATAAAATCTTATAAAGTTTAAGAGTTTTAAGATAATTTATCAAAATTAAACCCCCTCTCGTACAAACATCAAACAGTAATTTTAAGAGTATTCTTCCTTTAATCTACGAATTTCACGTTTCAATCGTCGTAATTGTCTTCCGTACATTGTTTCGAAAAGTAAGGCATCTGCGGCTCGCTGACTCATCACTTCCTGATGATGACGATGAAAAGAGTTGTAGCTTTCTAGGCCACGACGTGGTGGTGATGGATGCAGGTATTTCTCGACAGGTAAATCGGCAAATTTTACTTCTGATTTTTTCAATTCTGTTTCCAATTTTTTAACTGTGATTGTCTTGTTCTCATCAGTTTGTGTTTCCTCTTCTTTAACTGCACATAAATTTGGTTCCTTTAAGTGAATTTTCTCAACTGGTTTTGGTGCGCGTGCAGCTCTTCTTAAGGCAGCTAGTGCAAGCTTTTTCTGTGTTTTTCCTTTTTCTTCTAAATTTTTTTCATACACATAATCCACATTTTGCATGACATCATCAATCAAGATATCACAAATGGCATCTGACTGTTTTCCACGTAGTTTATTTCTTAAACGTGGTGAAATGACTTCACGTCTCTTCAGATCAAACTTTTCAGCTTTTTCATAGCATTTTTTAATGTTATAGCAACAATCTCTGATTTCATCCATTTTCCTTTCCATTACTTTCCTTCTTATAAAATCTTTTGCTGCTTCGCATTCACCTGATGTTACTGGCCTTCTTATATCATCTTCATTTACTGGCTTTCCTGCTGGCTTTAAACTTGTTAAGCGTTTTCGATCCAATGGAATTGTATATGGAAGGTCCGCCATCCTTAATGGTGCAATTTTCGTATCCAAATCAAAAATTGGATCATAAAAGACAATCGCATAACCACATCGATCATTATATACTACATTCTTGACTTTGCCGCGACTATATGATCTGCATACTTCGTCTCTAAGTGTCATTTTTTATAATCTGTTCTTTCCTTAACTACTAAAATTGATTTGTTCCGTTCAATATCTGACTATTTACTGAAAACAGCAGTGGCACGATAATCATATTTATAAGAAAATAACGAGATGATAATTTTAGACAGAGGTGATCGATTTAATTATTAATAAAGTTCTAAATCGGAAGTGCACACTTCCTTATAGAAAAAAAAATCTTTTTAGTAAATACAAAGTTGACGAATGCGATAAATTTGTAAAAATGAATAGTTGTGTTTAAAATTGAGCTTGTAAGGAAGGAGTTAAAATTTCTTAGTGTTTTATTCATGGAAATTAATTTATAGAAGTGATTTTTATACAGAAAATTGGGTATGTAAAATTAGAAGCAACACTGATAAATGAAATTTAATAATACTTATGCAAAAGATTATCGAGGAACTTAAAATTCCAATAATTAAGAGTAAATCAGTGTAAATCTATACTATTTTAGCAAAAAGACACACGAGAGAAATATGTTTTAAATTTTTTGAACTCATAGTAAATTTGGCAATAAATGGTGCATTTTAAAAAGCTCAAAATAATTTTTTTTCAGCCTAGTTAAGAAAATTATTTCCCTAATTAAGAAAATCACTGACATTTTACCTTGCAAAATATCTGAACAATGCATGAACTAGTAATAATATGAGACAATGTAAATAAGCAATAAGTAGTGTGAGTTTAAATAGATTCTTTATTTTTGGAAGTCATCATTAATTATTTTTTTTAAAGTATTACAAATCCAATTAAAATTCTTCAGCTTGCAATTTTATTGAAAAAAGATTTTATTTTGCCTTTTTTCTTTCAAGCTGGCGATTATTAAAGAAATCTTCAGATTCTCTCAAAGTTTTATGAATTGAATGTAATCTGTACCTTGCATCGCTGAGAAATTCTTCAGTTTTGTGCGTATAAGTATTCAATTCCTTTTTCATATTCTGCAATGAATATGAAACTGCTTGACATGGATTGACATTGCATGATGAGCATTGACCACCACAGTCACATCCATAATGATTTGGACGCTGTTCACTAAGAGAACGAGCAGCTCTTCTTGTTCGCGATGTTGCATAACATTCTCTAAAAATTTTTGCGTCACTATCTGTCGTATCTTTAATTTTTTTCAAACTATCTGCTAATAAAATATTACGAATTTGATTAGCTGATTTGCCTCGAATTGCTCTTTTCATTTCTAAAGTGAAATTTTCGCGATCTTCTTCGAGCATTTTACGTTCGCCATCTTTATAACGATAATAGGCATCCATTTCTAAATTTTTAATATCTTTTATAATTTTTCCAACGTCTTTCTTATACACTGCGTCTAATGCACTAGTTTTTGGTAAATTTCTTAGCAATTTAGTTGCGTCAGCAGTTGGAATTGCACTAAAGTATGAACTTTTCACGTCAAAATTATTGATATTTTTCAAAGCACTTTCTTGTGATTTTATCGCAATTTTCTTAGCTTTTTGATCGCTATACAATTTTAATGGTTTTTTCGGATCGTATTCCTTAATGTAACGCTCATTCGTCCACGGTAAGTGAGGTAACTGATGATTTTCATTATTTGATGAATCTCGACGATCCAAATAATCGATCATGGGTTGGTAGTAGTTCATTGAGTAGCCATATGTATAATCATAAATCTTGGAGTGGGGATGACCGGGTTTGTATTCAATCTTTGCACGATGCAAATCGGATGGTGTTACATGAATCCATATATTCGCCATTTCTTTTTCTTTTTTTATTTACTCTCTCAAAACTCTTAGTTCTGTTGTTGCTTATGTTGTTTTTATTTTTAATTACACACAATTAATTTTCCCCTTAAAATATTTATAGCTTCGTGTATGCTGTTGTAGTATGTAAAAAGATTTGTTTTTACGCCAGAAAACTCTCTTCGAAATTGTGAATCAGTTTACAAAAATCTTTAAATTTAATTCTCTCTAAGAAAATTCTATTTTGACTTGAAAAACTGCAAATAGTCAATTGATGAGTTTGCTTGTAATTAATCAAGTGAATGAGTCTTAAATTAATTTGAAATTCGAATTTTCGAATTTCATTCAATTTGATAATGTTTGATTGTGTGCTGAGAACCTTGAATTCAATAAAGAGAAATTTTCATGTCCTCTAATACACTGTGTGACTGACATATCAATTATTTAATTTATTTATATTAAGAATTTTATTTTAATTTGTTATGAATATTATTTTTGAACTAAGATGTAACTAATGTGATTGTATTGTCATTAACATCTGTCTGTTAATTTTGCGTTTGTGTAATTTGATAAATGTATTATGAAAATTGATACTTTAAATGTATATATTCTAAGAATTTTAGTCAAAGCGTCATTTTGATTTTGTCCTACACTTATTGAAACTACTAATCCATTAGGAAGTTCCAAAAATAAGAATTTTGACTCTTGACCTTTCATCATTACTTTTAATTTCTTGAACCAACATCTTGCCTATCAAATTTTACGATCTCATCGAGTTTCTTTTCTAAAATCTTCAAGGCACTTGTGAGAAAATTTAAGATCTAAAGTAACATATGATCTGATATGTTTTATAAACATGCTCGATTTTTTTTGATCTTGAAATTCGATTTTATGATTTCACAACAACATTCACTAATGATCTTATGCTTACTACTTTTGATATTGAGCAGCATACGTTCACGAAAATATGAGGTTTAAAAGTTTAAGTAAATGCACAAAACTATAGAACATTTAAAAATTATTTGCAAATTGGATTTCCTTGATGTTTTTCTTAAAACCTGATTGTTTTTTTCATTCCCCATAAAATATCAAAGCATTTAAATTCCCACAAAAACCTTAGTGATAAGTAGTTTAAATTTACTTGTCGTGTGGCTAATTGCTTTTCCCATTCTTGTCATCACCAAAATTTTACCTTTATTTTATTTATTTTTATTTAAAAATAGACTTTACGCAAAGGAAAATATGTAGTGTGATAGTAACAAAAGAAAAGTGTATTTGAAGGCTGTGAGAATTTCCTAATTTTTCGTATCTGCCTCAAAATACAAAAAATTTCTTCAAATGCCACACTTTAAATACAGATTTTTTCGTCACTTTAATTAATTTTGTGACGATGGCAAAGAAGCCATTTAAATGATGCTGATAGCTGACAGATTCTCAATTATTGCCCAAATTTAAAATTAAACTATTTTTTTTATCAACTCACCGAATTGATTCAACTTCTTCTTCCTTGATTTGAATGCGGCGTTCAGCGTCGTGACGGAACTGTCCATATTCAGATGCCAATGACTGAGCACGCTTCTCTTCAGCTTTGCGTCCCTAAAATAAAGAAGTTTCAATTTTTATTAGAATTCTTGTGTAACAACAAAAATAAGCTCTAGAAAACTAAGAATATTTCTTACAGCTTCGGCTTCCTTGTATGCAGCAGTGAGTTCTTCACGTTCGTTCTCGAGACGACGGATTTCAAGTTCATATTCATGAAGACGACGGGTCAATTCACTGACTGTGTTCTTTGATTCACGGAGTTCATCTGTTTAGGTAATGTACATTAAATTAGTTTTTAAAATTGGCTGAAAAAATTCTTATCAAATATTTAAATGACTCACCTCCAATTTTCTTGTTTTCACGTGCCAATTGATCTTTTTGGTCACGGGTCTTGTCCAATTCACCAGTAAGGCGTGAAACTTCAATTTGCTTGTTTCTGAGGTCACGTTGGGCAACTTCATAAAGAGCAATATGTTCTTCCAAGCGTGTCTTCAAGTCAATGTTGGTTCTTTCGAGGATCTCAACGCGCTTTTGGTAATCACGGGCAACACCATTAGCTTTCTCTAAATCAATGATAAGAACTTCAATTTCTGTGGTCAACTTTGTTCTGATCTTTTCTAAGCTGTTGATCTTGACGACCAAAGATTCGATGTGTTCTTCTTGTTCATTGATACGGATTGTGAATTTACGACGGAGTTCTTCAATTTCTTCAATACGGGAAGCAGCTTCTGTTTCATATTTGTTCTTGTACAAAGAAACATCTCCATTGGCCTTGTTCAATTGACGTTCCAAATCAAGACGAGCTTCAGATTCTTCTTCCAATTGAAGACGGAGTGATTCCATATCAGATTCAACTTGACGCAAAGTTGCTTCCAATGATGAGCGGCGACGTTCATCTTCTTCCAAACGACGTCTGGAATCTTCTAATTGAGAAAGAACCTGGGATCTTGAATATGTAACGTTTTCAATGTTGATCTTGAGGTCTTGGACTTCCTTAACTAAATCGATGTTTTCTTGGGTAATACGCTGTTTAATATTGGTGATGTCAATGATTGTGCGGTTTAATTCTTCAATTCTAACGTTAAGTTCAGTAACGCTGACTTCGAGTCTTTCGATTTGTTTGACATAGATGATTTTTTCCTTGTTTGAGGATTCAATCTGAGCGAACAATTCGTAGATTTCAGCCTGGAACTTTGCCTTTTCTTTTTCAGCTCTAAAATAAATAGAAAAAAAATGATGGTGCTTAAAATTATAGCAAATTTAGGTCAGTGTGTGGATGTATGTATGTTGAGATAGGACGATAGCAAAAACTGCAGTTAATTTTAATTACAACAACTTGTTAATTTTATGACTGAAATCATTTTACTGAAGGTGTGCGTAAGATGAAAAAATGATGATTATCATCATCCAGAATTCGTGTATTTTTCATCGGAATCATCAAGTTTCTGTGTGTTTTTTACTCTTTCAAACAGGCATGAACGAGTCAAAATGTATCGTCATGAAGAAAATTCTTTTTACATAAGCACAGCTCATATTTGGCCCGGAGTAAAAACTGCCGAGAGCGAAAAATAATTTTCTAAAAATAAAATTGAATCTTTTTCGTTTTTCATTCCTGTATAATTTTGTTTTCTTAAGAAAGTAAGTAGAGTAAAATCTTTTAAGAACTAAGAAGAGTCAAAAGTACGTACAAAAGTAAATACTGTTGTAAATTATTAGAAACTGTCTTACTAGCTCAACTTTTTGTGGAAATTAATAATTTTATATTAGCTTTTCATGTTTTTGCCAGTTGCAGAGGATTATAAATTGCACATGATGGATTATTAGGAACTGAAAATGAGATTCCATTTGCTTTGCATTATTAAGAAGCTAGTATATGATTAGTGAACTACAGTGCTCATCATTTATTAAAAAATTTAAAAGTCTTAAGACTTTTATTGATCCAACATAAGGTAGACCAGAAATAAGTCAAATTGGAAATTTTTTGATGTTAATAATTTTTTTCAAATTTAATTTAAAATAATTTTTCAAATTTTAAATGAACAAAAAAATCTATTTTGATCTAGCTTAATTTTAAAGACTGTGAACAATACAATTTATAAACACACTGAATTGAAGGTTGCTGCTTTTAAAATGAAAACTGTTGAAACATTTCAATTCATGACTTGTATAGAAATTAATTCAGGATTTCTTGTTTAATAGCAACTAAACTTTGTACTTCAGCCGTTGATTCAAAAAAAGAGAAATTTAATTGCTAAGAAAATATCCTTAATGGATCGTGATACATGAGAATTGCCAATAAGATTTATGAATGAGTTGACATGTCAATTAAATGAAAATTTGTGTAAAAATGTTCAATTTTACGGTATAAAGAAAAATTTTCAATTAAGGATCATTTAAAATCGATTTCTATATGTTTTGCCACAAAATGTAACCAGTAAGATTATGCACATTTCATTTTGATGACATTACATATTGACCTAAATTTTACACGAACAGGAGAATGAAAAATCATGTTACACACCGTCCCATAGAGTAAAAAACAAACGTAAATGCTCGATGATTGGTGTAATTTGTAAATGTTTTGTAATATTTTTAAAAAAAATCTATATTTACTTTGACTTAGCTTTGGAAAGAAGTTCAATTTGTTCATTGAAATCAACGACAATTTCTTGATGCTTTCTCTTCAACAAGTGTGCTGTCTCTTCTGATTCCAAATGAACATCTTCAAGAAGCTTGCGCAATTTGCCTAATTCAACATCTCGTTTGCGGCTGAATTCCAACTAAAAAAATATATTTTCATGTTTATTGAATTGATGTTGCAAATTCATGAGAAAAGTTTAATTTACATGGCTTTCGGCACCACCTTCGGCTTCTTCTAAACGTTCGGAAATGGAGATAAGTTGTACACTCATGTCTGCTTTTTCGCGTTCGATCTGAAAATTATTTCAAAGAAAAGTGCATTCAAGTGGATGCTTAAAAAACTGTTTATGGTATTTTAATTGTAAACTATCAATACTTGAGGAGAAAAGATAGTGAAAATTAAGTGAATCAATCAACTCGTTAATATTACTTGATAGATATTTGTAGTTATTTGTCATTACTTTGAGATATTAATTGCATTTAAAGATAACTATAAGAATTAATTTTTTTAAAATTGCTCATTACAAGAAGCAATTACGTGTTGATGTGAATTTCATTTAATTATTATAAAAAGTTTTTAAGTCATTATTTAATTATCTGATCCTCAAAAAGTTCAATTTTTTTTTACAACTATGATCAACAATAAATAATCACAGACTTGATGTCTGAAAGCTTAAAAAGAAAAATACTTCAAAATCAATTAAATTTATTATAGCCTTCTTCACAAAACAAACACATTAAGAACGTCTACACATTCCATAAAATAACATCACAGGAATTTTTTTTTATTTCATTTCCAGGAACATTTTCATTTAATATGTTTAGAAAAGAAAAATCTATAAAGTGAAAATGAGTAAATTGCAATAACACGAAAGAAAGATTTATAGATGAATAAATTTTATGAAGCTAGAGATGAGTGAAATAAATCCTGAAGAATTAAGTTTTAAGATTGGTTCATTTATGTCGTTCAATATATGTAGGTAAGACAAATCTCATGTTTTAATAGAATTTGTGACATTAATTTTTTTCCCCACAATATTTGGAACAAGGGGGGAGTCGTTTTAGCGTAACATAATAAATGAACGAGTCCTAAGAGTAGAAAATATATATTTAACCAAAATAATATTTTCATTTCGTAAAAAAATAACTCAAAAGGGCATAAAAAGTGATTCATATGTGATGCCATTTTCAGTTGACAATATCATCCGCTCGTAATAATTGAGTGAATTAGTCATCGACGGTGTGTGATGAGGAGAATAAGAAATTATGAATGTTACCTCACATTTCTATATTTAAATTTAATGAATAAATTCTTAAATTCGTAGCATGAAGAAAAGAAAAAAATAAATGAAAATTGTGTCTTGAGGTAAACGAAGAAATATTTTTTTTTTCACATCTACATCCAACAACTGTGAATGGATTTGTGAGGAAAATTTCTTATTTGTATTTGTGCAAGTTTTTTCCTTACACATTTTTTTTATATTCACACTTAAAAAATGCACTTGGAAAAGTTTTGTTTCATTCCATCATCTCACATTATTCTCTTTGTCTATCCCTCTCATTTGATTCTGCTCTACTCCTTAAAATCGAAAAAACATTCAAAAATATAACAGAAAATTTCCTGTTGCGAGAAAATTGCTTTCATCAGCCATCAATGCGAGTATCATTTTAAAAAAGTAAGTATGAAATATTGTGAAAAAGAAAACACTCTGAACGCCCACGTAGAAATTCCAAGTTAAGAGAAAATAAGTAGGATCGGCTTTTAAAGAAAAATCATCATCATCATCATTGAGTGCATGCTTGTGAGGAGTCATTCGATGAATAAGCAGGTAAAAAATAGACAAAAAATCTCATTTGTGTGTTATTTTTATGCGTTTGAAAGTTTTCTTGAGTAAGTTTAAATTGATCATAGATTTGAAATGAAAACTTACTTAATTTTTGTCATTTGAAGTTTTGAAGCTACTCTTTTAATCTAATTATCCTAAAATCCATAAATTTTCTCCTTAATACCACGTTTTTTTGCAGAATGACTCACGAAAAAGTTCAAAATTCTAACTGTTCATTGCCTGACAAACACAGAACAACATCAACTGATAAGTGCATTAAAAATAAGTTTGAAAACATTCTAAAATAGGAAACTGTTTATACCTTGAAATTCTTTGCATTCCTCTAACTAGAAGACGTTAAAAATAGCAAAAAAAGTTTCTTTTTTCAGTCTTGAAAAAGATGACAAAATGTAAGGCAAATAAAGTTGGCTGATATTTTTGAACTGTATATGTGTACATTAGAGGATCATCAATAACATTCAACTGTCTAGAAATTTTTTTGATGTCAGTATTGCTTGATCATAAGTGAGAGGACATTCTTTTACTGCTTGAAATGAGGATATCATAATAATTATAAAGGGTGTCAAATATCTGTTTTCTAGAACTTATTCTGATCACAAAACGACCAATAAAATGTGTAAAATCAGCGGTTTAAATATTCTTGTTTTCTTGTGAAATTTGATTTTTCAGTTCCAAAAGTCTAAACGTCATCAATTAGTTTTCTTTGACGAAAATTTGATCACAAAACATTCTTAAAAGTTATTCATCTTCATAAGTTACATGAAGGTGCGTCATTTGTATAAAATTTAAACATCAGAAAACCGTTTAACATTGATTTTAAGAATTTATTAAAGTTTGGGATGCCTTTTTCGAGAACTATCAAGTTTTGAACGAGATCTAAAGGTTATAGAGACATCAAAATAAGATCCAATGATCTCCTAGGTTCACAATCCCTAGTATTGAATTTCATCATTGATATTTTCAAAGTAATGATTATAAATGCAATGCATTTCCAACACATTAGAATAAGTCGAAAACATCTACAATCTTGTGCAGACAGAGAAATAGACATTCATTAAAATTTTTCATATATTACGAATTTTACTCAAAATGAAACTCTTTTAAGATAATTTTGAAGTATTTTTCTATATATTCTCGTCAATATCAATTAATTTAAAGTAAAAGATATAAAAAAATTTTACGAAATTTTTATTTTCTCACTTTATAGAAAAAAATGAAGAAAAATTTTCGAGAAATTTCTAGAAAAAGAAAATAGTATAGCATTCATATGAGAAGAAAAATGAAAAATCTGGGATGATGGGTAGAAATGTCGGTACATGAGTGCGAAGGAAGAGGAGAGTTTATTTATAGAGAAATGGTTATTTTCTCGTACTTAACTATTCCAATAGATTTAAAAATTGCAAAAAAAATTATTTTTCTTTTAAGAAGATAAGCCAGTGGCTAGTGGTGATGTAATAATATTAACGAGCTGAGTCGATCATATTTAAGTAATAATAAATAAACAAGTGGATACTCACTCTTTGGCGGATTTCTCTTTCAGCCTCCAAATCATCTTGGAGGATACGAATTTTATCCTATAAAAATATTTTTGAATTTTTTAGAACATTTTTTTTCATTTTGAATTTTTGGGTTAAATTTATTTTTCACATTTTTTCGCACTTTTCAGAATTTTTTCTTTCATTTTATTTTTTATTTCTTTTTTTCTATTTCTATTTTTCGCTCACTGCACAAATTATTTTTCTTTTCATAAATTTTTTCAGCTTCATTTCATAACTTTAATATTTCACTTATCTCTTTTTTGGAAATTTCATCCATTTTTTTTAAATTATTTCTTACCTCCAAACGCGAAAGGGCACTGAGATCAGCACTGTATTCAATGCTAACATCGCTATTACCGCCAACTCCTGAACGGTATGTATAGGTTTTTTTCGTTGTTTTTACTGCAGAGGCCATTTTATCAAAAAATTTATCAAAAAAATATTCACTAAATTTGTATCTTAATTCCTTTTTTGTCTTCCGAGTTAATCCGATAGATTTTTTATACTCCTCTCTTAATTTTTTTTTATTTTCTCAAGAAAAGATATAACGTCGGGAGCCCAAGGCTGGTGATCTACTAAATCGTCAGACCTCAGTCGTTCGAATGCTAAAACCGAAATGTGAATGTGAAAAAGTCAGAAAAAATTTTCTCAATTAAAATATATGTGAAAAATACACAAAAAAGAAAAAAAATCTTTTCTATTTTTCACACGATCATGGAAACGACGATGATGATCGCGAAAAGAAGCCAATTTTCCAATGAGTGTTATTGTGACTGTATGTATTATGAGACTCAATACATTCTTACTTACACGCAGGTGGATTTAAATTTAGCAAAAGAAAAAATTCCTCAACAAGAAAAAAATATGAAAAAAAAAATTAAAAACACTTTATTGAGTCAGTATGAGCACTAATACAGTCATAATAAACCGCATTCTTAAAATAGATTGGAATCATAATTATTAGGTGTAATGTGAAAATTCTGCAACACACACTTGACTACACAATTACATTTCGGCGCTTAGACATGAGAACTTAAAGTGATAATTATTATTCATTCTTATCAGGAAGACTTCCTTTGTCTCTTTTCTTTAAAAATAGAGAGTTTTGACTATTTACAAAAATATTTTAATCGCCGACATTCTTTTAATTTTTTTTTCACAATTTCTCACCTCATTAATTTTATTTTCATTAATTTGTATGAGTTCACACTCTGCTGTATGCACATGCACAATTTCCACTACAAAATTCAATCTGTGAATAATAACGAAAAAATTCGCGAGAATGATGTAAAAATTTATTACATAAATGAATGGGATGTCTTTAATAAGAAAATGAGAAGTGAAATGAAAAATATCAACAAGTCTATATGAAGGTACTTGAAGGCATTCAATGAAGAAAATTATTCTATCGATAAATTACTTACTCATAATGTTCACTGAGTGTATTGTAGAGGAAGATATTAATTTCTCAGATTTATGTCGATATTACACTTATTTTAAACTTAATTTGTAAATCATTGCTTTGATTCCTGCAGTGATAAAAATCATAAATTTTAATAAGTTTTCAAAAATATTTACTTATCAGAATTTAAACATGTTTTGCAGAATATTAAAAAAATCATAGGTTCAAGCGGGTCTATCGATTGCGAGCTGCTCCTTTTTTACTATCATACTCCACATCTACCAAAAACACAACTTTTTAAGTGATGACTATAACCTATCATTATCACACCTATCTTTAAAATAATTAACAAAACGAAAGATTCACAGGAAGATTCATGAAAACTGTTTAATTCATCCCACATGCAAATTTTATATTCACATGAAAAATGATCCAAAAAGAAGACTTTCCCGAAACATTTCAAATCAAAATATATTGCAATATATCAGATGAGCTTAATGTCTTCAAAATAAATTAATGTAAGACGTTTCTTATGATTATAAATAAGAAAGAATGGGGTTTTGTTTGGAAATTATGTGGTAATCTGTAAGAGTTATTAGTTTTATCGTAATTTTAAAGTTAATTAAGAATGAATTCTATTAAAAAAATCAAGTCCAAAATCTTCAACTCAAGATTGAAATTTTAAATAAATTTAAATGACAACAAATCATTTCTTTTTTGGACATTATCACCATTTTGTCACTAATTGGTTATCCTCTCACATATCATTTATCCCCTGATCAATAACTTTAAAACTCAAATCAAAAAATATTTTAAAATCTGAAGTTTTTTAAAACCAGTGAATTATTCAACAAAAGAAGAAAAGTTCTTCCGACTACAAAAGGATGTCAAGGCGAAAGCATCAAATGAATTTCAAACAGTGCGCTCAAAACCATTTTGTTTTCAAAGATGCAGCAGAAATATTACAAAAAGGTAAACTTTAATTTTACAAGCAAATGAAGTTTTAGAAATAAGATAAGAGTTCGTGATTAAAATTTCATCCGATTCCAAAAATTCATTTTAAATTTGCACCTTTAATATTATCAAGAGAAAATGATCTCAAATAGAATGTAGGAAAAAATGTTCATTTAAAAAAAGGTGAGTGATTCTAAAAATAAAATTTCACAAAAATATTTCCGTACAAATTGAAAAAAAAGTTGAAGAGCTATGCACGAATGTATTGCGAAATGTTTCATATTTTCATTAGATTGAATACAAAAACTTTGTTAAATATCACTTTTTCGAATTATTTTTGGATGAATGTGTAGTGGAATGAATTTTTTACTCAATCTGTAATTTTTTTGAGAAAAAAATTTGATGTGAACAAACTTTTTGGTGGACAGCGTGGATTATAAATAAAAGCAAAACATCTTAATTTTTTGACGAGTAAATGATGAAACTATTAATTCATTTCATGTGATAGATATTCTTTCGGCAATAAAGCTGTGTAAGTTAATTTAAATCATTTTAATAAATTATTTGAGTTCTTTGAATTATGCGATGACTAGCCGAGATGACGATTCGTGCTACAATGTGTAACCATATGCGAAATGCTAAATGTTTTTGTTTTCAGATAGACATTAATCTATGATATGATTCACATCAACTGTTTATTCACCTCTTTAATGTCATGTTCATGTTTTACCAGATTCTGCATTACTGGTTTTAGTGATTTAACAAGGATGTCAATTTTTATTCGCTAAATTATGATTTAATATTGATTTACAAAACTAGGATTAGATAAGTTGTTATCAGTGCCATAAATTGTAAATAACTTAATTTTATTTTTAACGAAAGAAAAAATATTGAATGATTTTCTCTCCTAAGCTTTTCACTTTGTAGTACTAGAATAAGATCGGGAAAATTTGAAATTTTCCTCATACTGAATTAAAAAACAGCAGTTGCAACTAGTACATAGAGAAAACATCGACATGTGTTTATGACTATTTTTTTATGTTTCGATAAACTTTGCTTGAAATTTGATTCAAAGATTACGAAATTTCAACGATTGAACAAAAACAAGGTATAACTTATTGAACTTGACTTCAATCCTGTTTAAAGTCTTTTGAAAAAAAAAAACATCCAATTACCTAAATGATCAAGCTTTTAACCTAGATTATTTTCAAAATATATCAATATGATCCTCACATGTGAAAATCTCACAAATGTTCGCAAAAAACTAGAAGAAAATGTTTTAACTCTCCTAAGCGCGCACGAAGAATGTGTAGAAGACATTTTCATTGATCTATGCTTTAATATTAAATGAAAATTTTCACTTTTCTTCATTTGTTATTTTTAAAATGAGTTTGAGCTAATTTTTTTCATTTATTTTTTCTCTCAAAGCGTTTATGCTCACGGGACGGACTTATTGAATTGAAAAGAAGTAAAATTAGTTGCTTGAGTTCGGTTTGCGCGTAAAGTTGTGCACGAGAAAAATTTAGAAAAAGTGATCAAAATAGAAACAGAAAATAGATAAAAAGTGTGTTGAAGGAAGTGAAAAGGAGAATAAATTTGTGTGAAAATTTCAAATTGTGTGGATTAAATTAAGGATATCCAATGCATATTAAAGGATCAAATGAAAATGTAAATTCAAAATTTTTATCTAAACCAATTTGCCAATTAATTTTTGATTAATTCAAGCTAAGGTAGAAATTTTTTTCTAACGCAATTGCGACCTTCATTCAGACGGATAGAAACACACGATAAATATCTTGATGATCGTAAAGAAAATGGTATTATAAAATTGTAAACAGTGACAAGCTCTAAGTGAAAAGGAAAGAGATACTTAAAAGATTATTTCGCAAAATAAAATTTATAAATTGTGAAGAAATCTTACAACCAGCGACAACCAAGATGAAATATTCTTTTGTTGAATATTTTACTTGCTTGAAATAGGATCATTCTAGCTCTCTGAGTCTGCGGTTCTTTTTATTGTGGTTAAGCAAAGTAAAACTGATTTAAAATTCACGAGAGCGAAAATTAATTTCATGCTTTTGGTTATCGGTTTCTTGTTGTTTGGACTTGATTGATTGTGCAAGGATTTATTGCTGAAAATGTTTGAAAACGTCAAACATGCAAAATATTTTGAACAGAAATTTTCCAAAAATTGCCAAAATATCAATTCCCAGATGTTTACACAAGCTAAAGAAACTGAGTCAGTAAAGTGATAAATTAGGACACATTCAGACAGAGGAAATTCAGTGGAAAAGTTTTGTTTAAGGAGTTTCGAAAAGTTTTTTTGTTTCACCGCTCATTTCGCAGAAAGAATAATTAAAATTGGACTGACAGATACTTCATTTGTTTAACAGGCAGTTTGCACTACTTTTTTTTATAGCAAATATGTTTGAACATTTTGTGAGTTTTAGTGAAGTAGTCTTCTGGTACGAAATTTTGCAAAAGCAATATTTATATTATGATCATAAAAAATTAATACTTATATGCAATAAAATTTAATATAACACTTCAAATTCGAGCTGTAATTTCAAAGGATATACATAATCAAACCAAAATAGCTTCATAACAAAACGATCAAGCTACACAGAGTTTTAGATTGATACTTCCTAAAAGTAAAGCTGTTTAAAAAATTTTGCCAACAGGATATAAACACAGAAACCTAAAACTCGAACATATGGTGATTTAATGTTATTTAGGAATGATTTGTTGCTATCTCATTTGCAGAATTGAAACATTTATCTGAACATATGTACGTAAAGTTATTTTTATTGATGAGTTAAGTCAGGAATATCTGTCTTTATAGGAAGTTGGGTTAAAAAAAATTTAATTTATTAATAAATCCTATGATTTATTAAAGTCTTGGAAACATCAAGGATATTGATCTCAAGACTCCAACATAAATCTTGTGAAGAATTCGCAGACCAAAAAATTCATTGCTTTTAATTTTGCATTCCAATGTTCAGCTTATAAATTCTTAAAAAGACAAATTTCTCAAGAGAAAGATATTCTGCAGATGCATCATAATCCTCAAACTCAATAAATAACATTGATTTATGTTATTACACTTTAATCTGTCTTTCTTCTAAAAATAATGGTCCAACTGTCTAATTTTGAAGTGCACTTATTTTTTATTTGATGAGCACGAGTTAATAAACCATACGTCAACTCTTAAGAAGCCAAAAGTTTATTTTTATAGTCGTCGAATGCATTTTTTAAGAGCATAAGATGAGAAAATTTTTTTTATGAA